TTATTATATAAAGTGGACAGCCAGATGGCTGAGACAGTTGAGGTCAGCCTACTGCTCAGGGGATCTGAATTTGGATGAGCAACTCTGGCAATTTTTTGAAGGTAGTCTGTCCAAGATATTTCAGGCCCTGTCCCTCATAACCTGACCAACCACATTGTGGTTTAGTCAAACTCATTATGGGCATAGAAAAAAGAGACAGTAAAAATTAAAAAATGTAGACTATACAAGTAAGGTTATGTTTTGTTTGTATTTTTATGAAGTTTAATTCAAGTTAACTGATTGTAAACTTTAAAGATATCTATCAATAGTTCAATATCTGGCTATTCATCATTCCAAAATTAAATTAAATGTATATTTTCAAAATAAATATTTTTATTTAAACAAATGTTTCAGCAATTCTACAGCTTTTAACTTTTATAAAATGAAAAAAGACCCTAAAAATGCATACAATATTGATTTCCAATTTGCATTTTAACATGGAATGTATTAATAAGAACACATGTTTTATGATATTTATGCACAGTTTTTATATTTATATGGAAATATATTGAAGCTTCAATTACTACAATAAAATTTTAATAATTTTTATAAGATTAATTTGAGTATGAAAAAGAAGCATCATCAGTTAAATTATAAATCGCAATCCTATTTTATAATTAAAATTGCAAAATTGTTATAGTAATAAATATTAACTCATTACAAAAATTTTATATTTATACTAAATAAGTAAATTTACAATTAAGAATTTAAATATATTTTTATAATATATTAAAACAAGATATCTCAAACACACTTATAACAGTAGTATATTGATTTATTAAATACTTTTTTCTTTTTTAGCATTTGCAATTAGCAATTTTATTGATATGTATGATAGCAAATGAAGAAAACTGAATCCATTTGATTATCTCAAATATTGTCGTCAAACTGTATTAAAACATTGATATTATTCATTCATTTATAAATTTATCAAAAATCAATATAATAAAAGATATTTTACCTAAAATTTAGTTATAAATAAACTATTAATAATGGCTAATCAGATTCAATTTTCTTCACAAAGAAATAATATGCAAATAAGCAGTTTTATCTTTACTATAACAATATCATAAGATTTCATACTTATTCTTATATATAATTTTCATAAGCAAGTACAGATCATTTCTAAATACAGCATTTAATAGCTTAAACAGATTTGCAATATGATACATTTAAAAATATAGTAATAAAAATAAATTGTTATGGTAATAAAAACAATGTAAGTAAAGGATAGACCACTACAAAGTTAATTATCAGCAATACTGAGCATATAAACAGCAACAACCTGATTTCTTTAACCTTTACAAATATACATTAATAAACAATTTTAAAATTTATTCAAATATGATTTTACCATTCCCTGTATTTAAAATTTTGAAATGTATAANGTTGAAGAAAGAATTAAGATAGAATAAATATTATTCATTTTCTATAGGCACTTATTATTATTAGCACTTTATTTGAAATTATAATGCAATGAAATGATAACCAGAGAAACATCAAATTATAATAAGTGCCTTATAAAAAATTTGGTCGCTGTAACCATATTTTTAAAATATTTCTTATGAAATGCATATATTAACGACATATGAAATTTTAATTGCTATATTGCTTATAAATAATAATTTTTAAAGTTAAATCAAATCTATAGAGATCTATTTGTAGAATATAATTTTTTATATGATTGAGAATATTTTACTACTATTGATTAGAATGACAATTTAATACTATTTCAATTGCATTTTCATCCATACATATTTTCTGAAAATTTATTTATCATCAGTTATGAATATTTTAAAATATAAATCAGTTATATTTATAAATTTGAGATATAAATAATTATTATTTTATATTTCAATATTTATGATATTTTAACTTTTTTGTAATTAAATAAATATTGCATTTTTAGCAATCAGATATGGAAGAAGACATGCAATCAGAAGCACTGGATTTGTGTGTTACAGCATGTGAGAAGTACACCAATAATGAGGTTGCATTGAAATATTTTTCTCTTTGTTTTGAAATTTAAAAAATGCATAAAAACAGTATTATTACTATTTTACAGGCAGCTGCAAAATTAATAAAAGAATCAATGGATAAAAAATATGGCCCATCTTGGCATGCTGTAGTTGGTAAAAACTTTGGAATGGAATTAACTTACAAATTGCAAACACTCTTATATATGTTTACTGGTGGAACAACAGCTGTGTGTTTATGGAAGTGTCCGTAATTATACAAAACAGTATTATTTATTTTAACTAAAACTAATTCAAAATTTAGTTTTATTTTAAACTTGATTTGATACAAATACTTGAAGTATTTTATTACCAGGTTTAAAATTGGATTTAATCCAAAATTATTTGTTTATTATATATACTACAGTAATGTTATTAAAGAAAAATCCATCCAAATATTAACACTAAAGTTGTGATTTTTGGTAGTTTGCTCAATATTTTATTATATAAAATCTTTGAATGTAACTACAATATTGTTTACATAACTTATTTGAATGCTATGCAAATCNAATTTTCAATATTTATTTTATATTATTTACTAATGTTAAATTCTATTCCGTTTCGATTTCCAAATTGCTTCAAATACGAAAGAATCGACGATTTTTCGTGTCTTTTGCCAGCTAAATTGACAAAGCCATTCTTATTCCACACGCTAATTTCATTTGAAAATAGTAGGCGATCCAACAAAACAATTTTTGCATTTTTATGCATTTACGGAGCCATTTTATCGTGAAAATATCGAACAAATTTTTTTATTGAAGCGTTTATATTTGACTTAGGCATTGGCCTTTTTCTTTTAATAATGTTTTATTTTTCATTACACGATTTCGAGCCAAAACTTTTTAAAAATAAATTTTCAATATCGCAATTACATTACGAATCGCTAGCCACGATATAAGGGCTAAAATTAAAAATAAAATTATAAAAACTTACTCGGTGAAATAAAATGTGTGGTGAATAGACATACCCGGTACAAAACATTCTTCAATTGTATGAATATACTTTTAAAGAAAATTATAATTAAATATAACTTTGTAAAGAAACGTACATAAAAATAACATAAAATTTATTTTACTTTTTAAATCTTAATTACTTAGTCAAATAGCTCCCTATGTGTGGAATTAGAGACGGTCCTGCTGGGAGTGCGGTGAGTACATGCACGCGGACTGCCAAATCCCGAGGGTGCCCATACCGATTAATGCCAAATGCCTCTTTTGTCGCATCACTAGTATATCTCAAAGAACTCGACAGGGTTGTTGTAAATTTTAAACGTTTCTCACCATAGCTGTAAAAGTCTAAATATGTTAAACTTAATAGTCATTTTTTTTTCTAACTAATTCGTTTTAGGACCAGGTGTCCAGGGAAATTTCCAAAATTTACAACTTTTCGGTCATTCTCATTGAACTGGAAAAATTTCTGTTTATATTACGTCTAATATTACGAAGAAATCAGTCCCCGCTGTACTCGGCTAGAGATTGGGTCGGTTAAGCTTTTAAGTAAAATTCCGGCTCTTTCAGCAGGGTTTTATTTATGTCCTCAATTCCCTAATCGCTTAATTATTTAACTACTTCTTAAGTGGAAATAAGTCGAAACCGGTTACTTTGTACTCGAATATTTGTAGTCTCGGGAAAAAGTGGAAAGACAGATTTTTATGACAAACGGATACATAAATCGTAAATTTGAGGAAAATAAATTCTAGAGCTTTTTCTGTACCTCGTGCATCTCTCTCATTCATTAAATTTAGTTGTAAATTATGCTACCAAAGTAACAGTTAATTTTTTAACATTGTACAAGAATTGTACGCGTTTTTTCCTACATCCCCTTAAAGAAGGGACATTCGATATCGTAATATCACTGGTTTAACATTGAAATCCGTGAGTAATATAAAATCGGATTTTTTAAAACTCCTGTCAACTATACAGAAAACTATCATAAAAACATACAGGTAAATTCTTATCGGTTGNGGAAAAATTTCTGTCTTTATTACATCTAATACAGTATTTCGAAGAAATCAGTCCCCACTGTACTCGGGTATAGATTGGTTCGGTTAAGCTTTTGTTTAAGTAATATTCTGGTTCTCTCGTCAGAGTTTTGTTTATGTCCCCATTTCCCTAATCGTTTAATTATTTAATTACTTCTTAAGTAAAAATAAGTCGAAACCGGTTACTTTGTACTGGAATATTTGTAGTCTCGGGAAAAAATGGAAAGACAAATTTTTATGACAAACGGATACATAAATCGTAAATTTAAGGAAAATAAATTCTAGAGCCTTTTCTGTACCTGGTGCATCTCTCCCATTCATTAAATTTAGTTGTAAATGACGCTGTCGAAGTAACGGTTAATTTTTTAACATTATACAAAAATTGTACACGTTTTTTTCTACATCTCCTTACAGATGGGATATACGAAATCTTAATATCATCGAATTAATATTGAAATCCACGAGTAATATAAAATCGGAGAGCGAAATAAAAATATCAAATATTTTAATAGATTTTTTAAACTCCTGTCAACTATACAGAACTACGTAAAAATGTACCAGTAAATTGTTATCGGTTGGGTTAAGTTATAAATCTACTCGTGATTCGCGTAATCGGGCGAGGGCGGCCAAATATCTAGCGGGCGAGCAGCTAACAGCCCGGAACAGGGCCCGGATAGAATCGGATGCGGTATACGTGTAGCATCCACCTGAGGTCCTAGGCTTCCACCGGCTAAACCGGGTGAGGTTTAGCCGGTGAGGTGCTCCGTAAAGTGCGTGCGCGAATCTGGCTTTATTGAAGTTGACAATACAGCGCTTCCACTCCGCCACTAATAATCGAATATACAATAGCGATCTTATTTTTTTCACGTGTAGAATAGAAATTTGTAATAAGATACGTAATGTGGTTATAATAAAATATTGTGCGATTATTTTCGTATAACTAAAATTAACATGTATTTATTTTTTAGAAAATACAAGGGAAGCGATGCATCCACCGCTTCTTATGACGTCACGCCACTGGATTTAACTTTTAACTGGTTTCATCACAAAATGATTATTGATGACAATGTGTGAAATTCCATTTAATCCATGCAAGGTGTGATTACCAGAGCCCCTTCGGCCGCCAATTTAAAGCGTTTTAAACTTTAAAATTGGCGTTTCCACTTCCCGGAACGAGGACCCAGGGGTTGGATTTGTAGGAAGCGAGTGTTGGAGTTGTTTCATTGTGTCGAATTACACAGAACGAGGCGCCTTGACGTGTAACTTCGGCCGCAACTCGCTAATAAAAATATATAATTAAGATTCAGAGAAATACAGATCCTAACTCTATGCAGAGATGTTACAATTTTTAAAGTTTACTTTTAATATTAAAATTCTGTGTAAGAAACGAATTGTAGTGTAAAATTAAAATAAATAAATATATATTATTATTAATTTTTCACGTCGAATTAAATTACATATTTTGAAAGTTGTACATTTTGTTCGAAGATTAGAGAGGGCGTTGGATTTTGATTACGATGGAGGAGCAGGAAGGAAAGAAAGAGGTTGAGATTACGAAACAATTGTTTACATATCCTCTTGTTAAAGTATGATTTAGTATCTTATCATTCGCTGTTTTTGTTTTCTATACTTTTACTCGAGTTATCTTTTTATACTGTTGATAGCCACATAAATAAATGGCTAAATAAACCATTATGAACTGTAATGAATATTATATTAAATAACAAATGTAAACAATTACTAAAATTTTTTACAATGTCAATGTTTTATGCTGTTCAACTTATTGTAATGAAAACATATTATTATTTGTAATCGAATGGTATTAATATAATGTTTATCATAGTTATTTACATAGTGTAGAATGTATATATTGCTGCTTTGCTTTGATAGTGGCACAATCAAAAAGAAAACAAGACTGATTTTGCATTTTTTGGATAAATAAACTTAGGTACAGTACTTTCATCATGCAAAATGGCATATTTCTACCTCTATTAGATTCCCATCAGAGATTGTGTGTGTCAACTTGTATTCAACTTTTAGTCAATTAGAATTTTTAAAGTCTTCCCTTGTAAAATTAACATTTTAAAAATTATGCCACTATCAAAGCAAAGCAATAATATAAGAGTTTAAAATATGTAATTAATTCACATAAATTATACTGTTAAAAAATAATACAGTTAATATTTTTGTTTTTTCAATCATTTTTAGGAATTTAGCTCCTCCGTTACAAATATTTGAAATGGAAATCTTATAATTTTTAAATAAAGATATTCTCACTAGCAATTAAAATGTAACTATTATTATTATTGATGCACGGCAAGAACAATTAATGGTATTAATATCTGAGTAGAAAACCAATTGTTATTGATAAAGTTATCACAACATTTATGAAGCAGAAGGATAAAATTAATTTTCAAAATTATTTTTAAATACTGAAATAAAACCAGAAAGTAGAGTTAATTCCACAGGCAAAAACATTTGCACTTTGTTTAAAATATTGTTGCTGGTTTGTTAGGTTATTGCAATGTTGTTATTAGTAAATAAATAAACACAACTAAAATGTTTTTTATTCAAAGAAAAGCTACTGTTTTTTACAAAAATTTGTAGAAAACAAATTTTTCTGAAGAACAATAGTTCCTCAAAATATTTTCTGATTATATGCATACTACTAACTATATATAACTGATACCCATATCAAGTGCTATAGCAGAATGAAATCAAACATAATTAATAAAAATCAACTGTTTTATCACATTTCTATGCTGTTAGCATATGCACTAGGGTTTCTAATTTCCCAATCTTTTGCTTGTCCCAGGATTCTGGGATAAAAGTGTACTGTTTCCCAGGATCCCGAGATAGAATTATTTATTTTTAAGATATGCAAAATATCTTTAAAAAATTAAAAATAATTATATCATTTGATTTCAAGTAATTTAATATGTTCTCAACCTCCAAAATCATGTCAATAATGCTGTGTAAGATATATATTAAAAATTACCTTTGAATTACATAGAAATTTTCACAAATAGAAAAAATTTACTGTAGTTTGCTGGAACCTGTATACAACAACAACAACAAAAAATGAACTTAGATCAAACTTCTAACTTAAAAGGAATTTTCGTTTTTTAAATAAAACATATAAAAATTTACAATAATATTTTGTATTAATACGATTTTAAAAAGCAAAGATGGTCAAAACTCCAATCACTCAATCTGACTCTTATTTTAGTAATGAAAAGTCCTATTACTGAGAATGCCCTTTTTGATTGAATTGATGTGAGTGGAATCGTGTTTAATGCATTTAAGAAAAGACAGACGTTATGTTTTTCCACCTGTAGCCTGGCATATTTCTAGTTCGTTTTCAAGATTGTAGTACTTTTTTGCTCTCTAGTATTCTTGATTTGTCTACCTGCTTTAATAGTGGCATCAAGCTTATAGCCCGATAATTTGCCAATTCGTCTGACTTTAATAATTAGGTTTTTGAAGAAAAACTTCATACTCGTTTGTATCCTTGCCAATTTGCACAACCTGGCGATATGCAATTATTGAAGCTACTGATGGTTAAAAATTAAGACAGCATAGCACAATTATTCCAGATATTACAGGTTCTGACAAGTAAAGAATTTTCAGAGTCCTGCCACAAATAAGCTACATATTGATTATTTGTGACATGCTATAATGAAAAAAAATTAAAAAAACTAATAAGTAGGTTTAAAATTAATAAATACAAATGTATTCTAACAGTTTATGAGTTAATTGTACTTTCTATTTGCAAATTTTTCACAACCTTAACATAAAATAAGAAAAAAGGGAACTTTTTAAGAAATTTGTGGGATTTCCTGAGTTAAAAAAACAACCAGGATCCTGTTTGAGAAACCCTAATATGCACCTATATTTACAAAAATTCCCAACTAAATGAAATATCTAATAATGATGCTTTCTATAAATATGATGCAAATATGATTGAGGTGTCCAGATTTTTGTGTAATATATATGGTATATATATATTACACAAAAATCTGTTATATATACCTGTTGAAGAAAGAATTAAGATAGAATAAATATTATTCATTTTCTATAGGCACTTATTATTATTAGCACTTTATTTGAAATTATAATGCAATGAAATGATAACCAGAGAAACATCAAATTATAATAAGTGCCTTATAAAAAATTTGGTCGCTGTAACCATATTTTTAAAATATTTCTTATGAAATGCATATATTAACGACATATGAAATTTTAATTGCTATATTGCTTATAAATAATAATTTTTAAAGTTAAATCAAATCTATAGAGATCTATTTGTAGAATATAATTTTTTATATGATTGAGAATATTTTACTACTATTGATTAGAATGACAATTTAATACTATTTCAATTGCATTTTCATCCATACATATTTTCTGAAAATTTATTTATCATCAGTTATGAATATTTTAAAATATAAATCAGTTATATTTATAAATTTGAGATATAAATAATTATTATTTTATATTTCAATATTTATGATATTTTAACTTTTTTGTAATTAAATAAATATTGCATTTTTAGCAATCAGATATGGAAGAAGACATGCAATCAGAAGCACTGGATTTGTGTGTTACAGCATGTGAGAAGTACACCAATAATGAGGTTGCATTGAAATATTTTTCTCTTTGTTTTGAAATTTAAAAAATGCATAAAAACAGTATTATTACTATTTTACAGGCAGCTGCAAAATTAATAAAAGAATCAATGGATAAAAAATATGGCCCATCTTGGCATGCTGTAGTTGGTAAAAACTTTGGAATGGAATTAACTTACAAATTGCAAACACTCTTATATATGTTTACTGGTGGAACAACAGCTGTGTGTTTATGGAAGTGTCCGTAATTATACAAAACAGTATTATTTATTTTAACTAAAACTAATTCAAAATTTAGTTTTATTTTAAACTTGATTTGATACAAATACTTGAAGTATTTTATTACCAGGTTTAAAATTGGATTTAATCCAAAATTATTTGTTTATTATATATACTACAGTAATGTTATTAAAGAAAAATCCATCCAAATATTAACACTAAAGTTGTGATTTTTGGTAGTTTGCTCAATATTTTATTATATAAAATCTTTGAATGTAACTACAATATTGTTTACATAACTTATTTGAATGCTATGCAAATCTATTTTCTTTATATTTTTTTAAACTTTAATAACTGTGATATTTATTAAAAACATTCCAAATATTACCGTAAATTATATATATATATACATCCTTGTGTATGAACATGTTATTTTTTTCTAACAATAAAAATCTTAATCATAAAACTTGTGATAAGAATTATTTTAAATGAGTTTAAGCATTAAATATATTTTACACCAAAAATTTTGTTTACTGTGATTTTCTGTAAATAATCTGTGTTATCTATGGTGTATGTTTAGAAGTTAGTTTTAAAGTGCATGCAGATTATATGACAATTTTAAATTTCAATTACAAATTCATCCAACCACTTTTCCTTTGTCTATACTTACCAAGAGTGTCTTCAAAAATGTGAAACATATATTTATGCAAATATTTGAAGGATTTGCCATCATAATTTTTTCAGAAGCCATTAAAGATGTATACCAAACAAAAAACTGGAACTATATAAATCAACTAACTGACACTAAATGCAAATTCATCCTTCTATCCTTTGAAAATTTAACTTTCAAAGGATAGAACATTTTTGTGTTTTTTTGTGCATTCATTCCTGATGAGGGCCTCGAAAAGATGGCCGAAAATGTTTGAACATTAAAATTTCTTTGTTTATTATGTGCTGGAATTTGCATTTAGGTGTCAGTTAGTTGAAAGATATACATCTTTCAACTAAGTATACTTGTTCTATTCTGTTTTCTGTATGTCAATCCAAATTTTAATTGATATTAAACATATTTGCTTGAACTTGTTTCTTAAAAGATGATAAATTTCCAACAATTCCTTAATCTTTCTATATAATAATTCTCAGGAAACTAAAAGTGGATTTCAATTGTTTGAATTTTACAATTTACAAAAGAAAATTCTGTTCTTTTGTAAATTGTAAACTTCAAACATCTCCTGAAGAAGGTCAATTTAGAAGACCAGAAACATTTGAATAGTAAAACAAACATTCATTGCATTATAAATGTTAGGTTTTGTGTTTAATGCTTACTGAAAGGTGGATAGTGTTATCAGGATGGGGAGTGATTGCTGCCTAAAGTATTTTCCATTGCTGTCCATGTTGTGTGCAGTGTATTGGGAGAGCAAAAGGATAAGTCCAGTGCTGACTCTTGGTTTCCTGGTGCCAATACTCTAGAGCTCTACTGGTTTTGTTAGCTTAATCTTGCTTGAATCCCATAGAGAGTAATTGGCATTGAAGTCTCCAGATATAAGTGGAGGTAGCATTGAAGTCTCCAGATATAAGTGGGCTCTAAATCTAAATTATTTGATGATGAATTCTCTATGTGGGGTGTATATGTTGGCTAAGGTCATGGAGGATAACAAACCACATGACTTGACCACCTACAGCAGAAGTTAGTGTTGGGATGGAGACATGCTGTGTTGTGTAGTGATCTCTGACCACTATTAAGATGCCACCACCTGTTTGGTGTACTCTGCTGTGTAGATAAATTATGAATCCTGGAAGGTGGAAATCCTGTGTTGGGCAAAGGCAAGTCTCCTGTATTAGGAGAATGTCTGAAGTCTGTAAGAGAGGAGCCAAGTAATTGGGTGTTGTTTGTATAGAGTTTTCTAGCATTCCATTGGAAGAATCTGAGGGATGGGAATTTTTTACTAGTTTCTGAACATTGTGAGGATAGAGATCATTGTTGTCAGATATGGAATGATTGAGTGGTCCTTTGATGGTGTACTACTGCTTTCAGAGGGACAGTTCATTGCTTGGGGCAATGTTGATTCTTGGTCCTCTAAACCTATTGTCAATTTGGGGCTGGATGTGTGCTGTTGGTTGTTACATTGGAGCTGAACTCCTGGTGTCTAGAATGTTTGGCTGATCAGCTACTGATGCCCTTAGTTTGTTTCAATCATTGTGATGATGCTACTGCAGTGGGACAAAAGGAGGCTGCAAGCCTGGTATAGTTGTTGGTATAGACAGGTAGAGAGATTACACAAGAAATTTTATTTTTTATTGAAAATACAAGGGTTGTCCCAAAAGTAATGCACAGTTGGCTCTAACTTGAAAAATATTTATTTAAGAAGATACAAGTGATTACAGGCCTTCAAAATAATCCCCTCCCTTATCAATACATGCTTGCCAGCAGTGTGGAAGTGCTTGGATTCTGAATCTGTCGAGTCACTTTGTAAAGTACTAAGTTATTTTTACAGCTTTTACAATGATTAGCGACATTACTTTGTGCCAGAAATAGCCGTTACCTAACGGGTACTTTATGTGGATTCGCGTTAATTTGCCAGGTCTGGACTTTAAGTGTACACCGAAAGAAATAATGACAAAGTTAGTCAAAAAACAATCCAATATTTAATAATAATTCTAGTAATAACTATGTACAAAATTTAATAACAATCAACAACAAATTTATTCAAAGAAAAAATCAATAAGAATCAACCCAACAAAAACTCAAATCAATCTATTTGCTAACTTAAATCTATTCCCCTTTGGAACTCGACAAAAATTTCAAAGACTTAACTTATGTACAACAATTCTTATGAACTAAGGTCGTAATCGTCACCTCAATATACTAGGAACCTTTTTCCTCAACTCTCAAGACTTTCTCTAATCTTCAATCCACAAATTGAATAACTTCAAATTGCCCTGGAACCACTATCGCTATCGGACACCTCTTGTTGTTCGCTGCTATGAAGTTCACCTCGGTCATCTTCACTTGCGGTTTGGACTTTATACTATGAGGTGACGTCACAATTCTGATTGAGATCACTCCCCTCATTCACATACTTATCGCTAACAGTTAACTTTTCCTTTCTGCCTGGCAGCCTATTTCCTGACAACACTCACTAACTTTTTACATTATTCTTTCTGACACTTTTTGGGATGTTTTCTTCATTAAGGTTTAGCAAGTTCCTAAATTGTGCTTGTGGGGTCTCCCCACCTTTCTTGGTGTGGACTTACTTTTTCCGCTCGGGAGCGCAAGTGTGCGTGAGTTTTTTTCTACGGCGCTTTTTTTTCGTTGGTTAGTTGGTTCTATTTCTTCTATTTTTAAGTTTCTAAGGTGAGTGGCAAGGAAACCTTCATCCTAACAAAACATAAGCCCCAAACAAAAATAGAATAAAAAGCAAAATAAAAAATAACTAAATATAACGCTCGGACTTGGTTCCTTACAACTTCTCTTCGGAGCTCTTCCAGTATCGGAAAGTGCACTCCCGAAGGGGTTCCTTCAGCTTGGGAAAGAGATCGAAGTCAGGTGGGCTCAGATCAGGACTACAAGCTGGGTGACGGAGCTGTTCCTGACAATTGTTTGTTTGACAAGAAGTGCAGTACCCACTATGCCACCACCTTTCGTTTGCCTGGCACCTGTGTTAAAATACGATGCGTGCTTGTTTTCAAGATTCCTGTCTCTGCCTCAATTTCTCTTACCGTGATTGCCCAGTCTTCATCAAGCAATGCTGCAATGATTGAAGTGTTTGTGTTGTCAGCTGTTACAGTAAATGGCTGCCCCGTGTGTGGATCATCTTCGATGCTTGTTCAACCTTCTCGAAACTTCATATGCCACCTCTATACTGTGCTACGATTCACAATAAACCTTCCATACACTTCTTTTAACGCGGCATGAATTTCAGACACTTTTTTTACCACACACTGTTTCGATGTGAATATACGCAGGTTGCTCTATTGCTGAAATCCAACCTGACAGACTGTTCTCGTTGTCTTTTCAAATTTTTGGCATTTTTCCTTTAAACGAATCCCATTACCATATGATACCAATGTGTTTGTAAGACTTCAATCTACTTTGTCAGCTATCTACATTGCCTACAATGCCCGCTAGACCATGCTGTGCATTACTTTTGGGACAACCCTTGTAGTTTTAAAAGAGGTGTATGTCTAACAAAAAAGTTAAATACAAAAAAAACCAGATTCAAACATTAGATGTTTATTATATCAGACAAAAAATGTGTGAATCAATCTTTTTAATGCTCTATATTTATTTTTATTATTACAGTAGAGCCTCGAAAACTCGGCACTCGATAACCTGGTACTCTGGATAACTCGGCCACACCCTGGCAGGGCAAAAAAATCCTTAGTTAATTTTCATGATAAAGACAGCTTTATGCCTCATAAAGTATTTTTCTGAGGTCTGTCTTATCAGGTAAATTACTGTACACAGTGTATTCATTAATTTTCATTTTCAAAGACATACTTTTCCTTTCTTTAAGGGTATTTGGGCAGTTTATTCTGTTGTATTCTCAAGTAAACAATACATACAAGTACAGTACAGTATTTTCTGAGGAAAAAACTCATACTTATTTTTTTTAACCCCATTCCAAACTCGGCCACCCTTCAGTCCACATTAGGCCGAGTTTTCGAGGCTCTACTGTATTATAGACATGTGAAATAATTTAATGTAAATTATTAATAATTAACCATTTCTAAAAGGCTACATAAAATGTATTTGAAAGATATGATTTAATATGCTAGAGCAGGGATTGGCAACCATTGGCATGCATACCAAACGTGACACGCAGAATGATTTTCAGTGGCACTCTGATTGAATAAAAATTATATTTTAATTATTAATTACACATTTAAATGGTACTCACAGTTCAGCCAAGGCAACAGTACATTAAAAACAAATCTTGTTTGTATGTTTCTATTACAGCACATGTGTTTACGCTCCATGTCACATCTGTGTGTTATGCAAACACTTCAAATGTAAGAACATAAGTCAATTAACAGCTTAATTTCAAAATTATACATTTTTGAAGTCCATTATAACTAGACTAATTTTGATAACATATATAATAAACTTGATAGAATCATGTCAGCACATGGAACAACACTGTAACTTACATTTGGCACAACACCAGTGAAAGGTTGCCAATCCCTGTGTTATAGTATTTCTTATTCATCCATAATTCAGTGAATAACCATTGGGTCCATTGGTTTTGCATGTGTGAAAACCTAATGACCAAGTATTCCGATAAGGTTACACCTATGTGTGGGCATGAGATTCAGGGAGGTCTTTTGTTCAGGTCAGTTGAACAAGCAGGATATGACCGGAGTCCAGTCCAGACCGTCATAACCACCCAACTTGTAGTTCTTCATGAGAGATTAAATGAGAATTATACAATTA